TCCAGCCCTAACTATATGCTTTAGCAAAAAGGAAAGTTTGAAGCCTAATCTTAAAAGTAGAGATAGTGTCTGTCTCCTGAATCCAAACTGGAAGCTGTTGAAGCTACTTGTTGGATTGTGACTGTTGTTAAGTATCTCAAGTTGTTTCCACATCTGACAGAAAGGTGGGATATAAATTTCTTTATGTTTACCCTGCATAAGTGCTTCTGTTGATTTTGTGATGGCTCCCCGTGGTTATCACAACACAGCACACAGAGGATCGACATCTTTCACTGCTGCTTCTCTACATCGCTTTGTACAGCTCATGAATAAAATATCAAAGCAGGATCAATTCGCAGGGACTGGGGAGTTGAGAAGTACTGTTGTGTTGACACACTGGCTGTCTCCTTACCTCCCACTCTCGCCCTCACTCTGGATGCTCCTGGCTGTCTGCTGCTATTTGAAATGCTAATAGATTTCTCGACACTGAGCTCAAAACTTCTCTTCCTCGCCTTAGCTAGTTCTTTCTACCCACAGCCTCAGCTCTCTTATGGCCTCTCTTCATATCTGTATCACCTTTCCATAAGCAGCTGTTTACTCAGAAGCACTTCACAAGCAAGCATGCATGGAGCGAAAGTCACCTCTGCCAGACTAAATTGGCGTGTGACTGATTCATGATTTCTGTCTGTCATACACTTATGCATTACGGAAATCATGCCTAATGACAGATAATTTCATGGGAGTGAGGTGTTTTGTAACTGGATGCCATTATCCCAATTTTAGTGCAGATGGATGACTGAATATGCTGCATGTTGCTGCTCCAATACAACAAAACTCGTTAAAACACAAGAGTTTCAAATCTCATTTGAAATTATACTTAGCTATTCTTAGCATGGCAGTTTATTAGATGGCAATCACATTGTTACAGGTATTATTTAAGTCACAGGACTAATATTTTAATCTACTTTTAAAAGAGTATAAAATTGTGCATAAACTCAATGCAGTAGATGACCAGCGCTTAATTTTAGACTACATAGGTTCAAAATAAAATCCCAACATTGAAAAGAAAACTTTGAAGTTTGCACAAAAACGTATGACTCACTCCGAAAGTCATGCTGAAGTAAATCGGTTGGTTTTGATAAATGCTCCGGAAATGTATGCACCAGAACTTTACAGTGGTGTTGTGCCCCGAGTGAAGTTTAGATTTAGATACATTCATAATCTTCAGGATCCTGAATCAAT